ATTAGTCTTTATACCTGCAGACCCTATCATTATACTTGGCACATGGTAGGCTATTAAACATTTGTTGAATGAATTAAGCAGATTCTGGATTCTCTTACCTGTAAATTTTGGGGAAAAATCCAACTCAACCATATAAACAAGGTGAAACTGCCATTCAAGATCTAAAAACAGATCAATAAAACTACACCTTAAACTCAGATCTTCTTACACTTACTTTTTAAATAAGCATGAAAAATCCATACTTTGTTAAAATAATCGTATTTAGTTGATAACATGAAAAATACAAAAACAGCTACATTTGAAAACATTTAGAAAACCACTATGATTCCATGAACCAAAAGGAAAAATACACAAGACTAATAAAACATGGAAAAAAAACTTTCCAACCTTACTAGATATGCAACTACCATTGTTTGCCTACTAAATTAGCAAAGTTTTAACCAAATGGTAATTCAGAAATGATGGTGTGAAGTAAAAGGGTATTCTGAAATCTCATACACTAAAGTATTTGGGGGGTATATCAATGCTATATGGATGTTGTTAGTTGCCATCATGTCGGCTCCGAATCATGGATCTTATGTATAACAGAGTGAAATGCTGTCTGGTCCTATGCCACCTTTATGATCTTTGTTAAGTTTTAGTACAGGCTATACAGATAAAAAACCTTAAAAAAAGTAATACTCAAGGTATGTATATGAGAGAGTGTAAACTAAAAATATCCCTATATTTTTCTACTTCAATCCTCAAGTTGCAGTATTGAAGGATTCTATGGGGAAAATATTGAACAAAACAGGAGGCTTCAAAAGAAGATGGAAAGAATACACAGGGTCACTATACCGAAAGAATTTGTTTGATGTTCAACCATTTCAGGAGGCAGCATATGATCAAGAACCGATGGTACTGAAGGAAGAAGTACAAGTTGCACTGAAGGCACCGGTAAAAAACAAGTCTCCAGGAATTGACAGAATACCAACTGAGATGTTTCAACGAACAGATGAGGCGCTGGAAGTGTTCACTCATCTATGCCAAGAACTTTGGAAGACAGTTGCCTGGCCAACGGACTGGAAGAGATCCATGTTTGTGCCCGTTCCAAAGAAAGGTGACTCAACAGAATGCAGACGTTATCAAACAATATCATTAATATCACAAAGTAAAATTATACTGAAAATCATTCAAAAGTGGTTGCAGCAGTACATCGACAGTATACTGCCAGAAATTTAAGCCAAATTAAAAAGAGGATTTGGAACAAGGGATATCATTGCTGATGTCAGTTGGATCTTGGCTGAAAGCAGAGAATACCAGAAAGATGTTTACCTCTGTTTTATTGACTATGCAAAGGTATTTGACTGTGTGGATCACAGCAAATTATGGACAACGTTGCAAAGGATGGGAATTCCAGAACACTTAATTGTGCTCACGCAGAACCTGTACATAGACCAAATAGAACGAGGGGATACTGTGTGGTTTAAAGTCAGGAAAGGTATTCGTTAGGGTTGTATCCTTTCACCATACTTATTCAATCTGTATGCTGAGTAAAGAATCCAAGAAGCTGGAAGGTATCAAGAAGAATGTGGCATTAGGATTGGAGGAAGACTCATTAACAACCTCATTTTGCTGATGACACAGACTTGTTGCTGAAAGAGGGCTTCAAGCACTTACTGATGAAGATAAAAGACTATAGCCTTCAGCATAGATTACATCTCAACATAAAACACAAATCCTCACAACTGGACCAATAAGCATCATCATGATAAACGGAGAAAAGACTGAAGTTGTCAAGAATTTCATTTTACTTGGATCCACAATCAACGCCCATGGAAGCTGCAGTCAAGAAATCAAATGAAGTATTGCATTGGGCAAATCTGCTGCAAAAGGCCTCTTGAAAGTGTTAAAAAAGCAAAGATGTCAGTTTGAGGACTAAGGTGCACCTGGCCCAAGTCATGCTATTTTCAGTCGCCTCAAATGCATGCAAAAGCTGGACAATGAATAAGGACGACTCAAGAAGAATCGATGCCTTTGAATTATGGTGTTGGTGAAGAATACTGAATATACCGCGGACTGACGGAACGAACGTGTCTTGGAAAAAGTACAACCAGAATGCTCCTTGGAAGTAAGGATGGCGAGATTTCATCTCATGCACTTTGCACATGTTATCTGGAGGGACTAGTCCCTGAAGAAGGGCATAATTCTTGGTAAAGGGTCAGCAAAAAAGAGGAAGACCCTCAACGAGATGTACTGACACAGTGGGTGCAACAATGGGCTAAAGCATAACGATTGTGAGGATGGCACAGGACCAGGCAGTGTTTTGTTCTGTTGTACACAGGGTCTCCATGAGTCAGAACTGACTCAACGGCACCCAGTAACATCCTTTTCTATCCACCACGTCTGTCAGTTTCTTACTTTGGTGGCTTGCGTGTTACTGTGATGCTGCAAGCTATGCCACCAGTATATCAAATACCAGCAGGGTCACCCATAGTGGACAGGTTTCAGTGGAGCTTCCGGAGGGAAGACTAGGAAGAAGGACCTGGCAGTCTACTTCTGAAAGAAAATGGCCGGTGAAAACCTCATGGATAGCAGTGGAACATTGATATAGTGCTGCAAGATGAGCCCCTCAAGTTGGAAGACACTCAAAATACGACTGTGGAAGAGCTGCCTCCTCAAAGAAGAGTCGACCTTAACGACATGGATGGACTCAAGCTTTCGGGACCTTCATTTGTTGATGTGGCACTACTCAAAATGAGAAGACACAGCTGCAAACATCTCCGGGCAGTGTTTCTTTCTGTTGTACACAGGATCGCTATGAGTCGGAATCAACTCGACGGCATCTAATAACAACAACATACTTTTCTATATACTTCTAAAAATTTACTCTAAGAAATCAAAATGTAGATCAGAATTTATGCAATATGACTCGGAAGTTAAGAACACGGCTCTGCCACTTACTAGCTATTCGACCTTCAACAGATTATTAATTTTCTGGGATCCGTTTCCTCCTCAGTAAAATGGTGATCTAAAAAGAAAACATAACCTGTCTTACAGGGTTGGTATGAAGATTAAATGAGAGTATATATATTAGAGTTTACAACAGAGCCTGGCATAAAGAATTTTCAATAAGTGTTAAATGCTATTATTCAGCGTATCTGAAATTTTGAAACAGTCTAATGTTCAGTAATAAAACAATGGTTAAAAAAATTACAGTAAATCCATACAATGGCATATTATATAGTCATTAAAATGCTGTTCATAGTTTTTAATGATAGAGAAATGCTTACATTAAGCAAAAGAGCATGATATAAAATTGAATATATAGTATCAAGCACGTAAAATATACATCAATATGCAGAAAAAGATCTAGCAGAAAACAAACCAAAATATTAAAAACAGTTATTTTGGGTAGTAAAATTTGAACTTCTTGCTGTTGTTTTCTTTCTTTATACTCTTTTATTGCTATTCTTTTTCTACAATAGGAAGGTATTACTTTTCAAATCAGAAAAACATTGTGATTTAAAAAGGTTAAAATGAGGTACCAAATGGGTAATTTAAAAATTTACAGAAATGTCCAACTCTTCACATGTAAATGATGCAATACAGAAATTAGCATAGCTTTCTAAAACTCCATTATTTTCTGATGGATTTTCAAATAAAGAACATTGTATACATGCAAAATAAATACAAGCAACATAAAACAGTAAATATTCCTTGATTGAATTTGTGTTATAAATGAGTGTGAAATTTAGCACAAACAATGCATTCCCTGACTCTACTTAGGCCAGCCCCCCCACAGTCCCAACCAGGACTTTCAGTATCCAGGTGGTTCTGATCCAGAATTCCCTTCCAACCCTAGAGAGTCAGCTGGCCTGCTGGCTGCTCTTAAGGCTGTTCCTGCTCCCAGCTTCACTCCATGCTCCAGCAGCTTTAACCTTTTCTATCCACCAAACTATAAATTTTCCATCCTTTTTGCAATTTTCAAAGGGAATAACTCCAACTGTCTGGTTGTAAGAAGGAGAAAGAAGTTCTTTATGCATACTTTCCCCTTCTTAAATAGTGTCAGACTCTATGTCCTCAGTTCTTTGCCTTTTACGTTACCTTACCTCATTAATAGTCCAAAACACTATGTTCATTTCAGTCAGTCAATATTTGCCCTTACAGCAGTTTATTCTTCAATAAATACCATGAAAGACCTTAATAGTTTTTAACAACTGTACTACAAAGAATTAACAATAACAATTTACAGGAGACTTTAGGAAACAGTTCATATTCTTAACAGAGCATTTCTTTGGAGTAAATCTCAATCTTCTTGTTTATTAATCAACATTTTCACTTAAATAACGCTTCCTGGGTGGTGAAAACGGTTAATGAGCTCAGCTGCTGTCCAAAGGGTTGGAGGTTTGAGTCCACCCAGAGGTGCCTCAGAAGAAAGGCCTGACAATCTATGTCTGAAAACCAATTTTACTCTGACACCCCCGGGGTCACTATGAATCAAAATCGACTCAATGGCAACTGGTTTTAGACAGTATATATTTCAGTCATAATGCTGAAAAACCATTCTAGCTAACATGTATCATGTGTTCACCCAAACATCCATTCATACTGCATTAACCAGATCATTTATGACTTAAGTTTTAAAAGAAGTGGTTTAAGCAGAAATTCCCCAAGTGTTAATGTACTTCGTTGCTCTGTGTGACTCAACCCTCACAGCAAAAGCTACTTTTATAACCTACCAGTTCTGTGAGCCCCAAACTTTACAAATTAATACAACACAATCTAAATGCACCATAAATTTATATTTGTTAATCTTGATGTTAGAATATTTAAACATTTCAAACTACATAAAAATAGAACAAATAATATAAAATAGAAAGAAATTTGACAACTTACTTCCAAAATATTGTTATTATATTGAAAATAAGCAACAAGACAGTTTACATGGCTCTCTAGAAAACATATATAGTGTTTTTAGTGGAGTGTTATCAACAAAAATCAGCACAACCCCACAGAATAACGTCTCCAATTTATTATCTTTTCCACAGTACAAAGTTTTCACAAACCATAAATTCTTTGCAGTTATTCAAAGTCTGTAAACAAGTGCCTGGATCCCCACATCCCCCCACCTCAGTTTAAGCTTGTGAATGTTTTAAGTCCTTCAATCAAGTTTCAACTCTTCCACTTGCATATAAGCAATCAAGAGCCTTCTCTCTGTAAATTATTTGTATTTTATCATACAGCCTGCGATGCAGTAAATCACAGTGAAAGCCCTGGGAAAAACGAAACAACATGATCTTTACAGCAGACTTGAAACTTTATAATATTAAATGCATTTAAAGAACCTTCCCATAATAAAAGCGTGGGTTTTCATTTCCATAAATCAAGTCAATTAGAAACTCTACGTTCTACTTAAAAACCCATTGTAATCTAAAAGTGAAAACAGTCCCCTATCCATAGACATTTTATAAACTCTATACAGTTTCACTTGCAGAGATTCCCCTCCCCCTCCCCCCAGTCTGGAAAACATTAGTGCAATTAGTTTTACTTCTTTTAAGTTATTTAGTCCAGGATGTAAATAGTTCTGTGGAAAGATAAGAAGATGCTCTGGTAAACAAGAAATTTTTGCAAGCCCATGCTGGCTTACTAGTCCATTAAAGCTTGTAAGTCCATAGTGGCTTTCAACAAAATATATATACATCACCAGTAACAAAGCAGAAATAAATAGGCAGAAATGACCGTAAACTGTCTCATCTCTTAAAGATTTTTCAGTAATAACTGCCTTGACAAATTGATTATCTAGTCGTTTAAATAAGCAGACAGTAGACAGTTGCCCTTAAGGATATTCCACTGTGGCATCTAGTCTGGAAAGCCCCAATGGAGTTACATTCCTAAAATTAAAACAAAAAAGGGGGAGTGGAGGGTGGGAGATAAAAGTTTAAAGATGCTACTTGAATGGAATTCCACCAAGTCAGCCAGTTCACTTAGATTTCTTCTTAAAAAGGCTTTTAATTTTGGATGGCTTTTTGCTTTTCTCTCCACTATGACAAAGGTCATGTGGGATGCTGCTGATCCTGGCAACACTTGGAGTTTCCTGAACTGGTTTGCTGTCGTTGCCAGCTGAGGAACATGACGTGTGGCGAGGTTTGGGCACTGGGATGCCACTAGAAAGCTGGTTCATGCTACAGGATTTCTCCAAGATGCCATTGTACACTTTGCTTGCAGGACTGAAGATCATACTTTTAGTTTCTGTCAGGCCTACACAATCAGGAGAACCCCGAGAGAGCTCTACAGTTATGGGCGAATCTCCTCTGGATGAACCCTCTAGGGAGAGCTCATCTCTTGATGTCTTTCTAGGAGACAATGTTTGGTATATCTCCAGGCTTGAAGGAGGAGACTGTTTCCTTCCAATGGAAGAATTTAAGGAGTCACATTCTGAAGCTGTGTCTGGTACTTCCCTGAATGAGACAGAGAGGCAAAGGTAAACATTTTAAATCATTATGTTCATCAGCCATTCTAACTAATTCTAACTGAAACAATGTTCATTGCTTAATCTATTGGAATTTAAAAGGGGAAAATGCTAAAATGTTATATATATTTCAACAAAATAAAATAACTATTACTTTAATATAATCTATCAAAACAGCGTTTAATTTTTAACATAAACTGTAACAGTGAAATTTTACAATCTAAGAAACATTATAAGTTATGCCTTCTTAAATTGTCAGAGAATGAAAACATTTAAATTTTATATTCTTTTCTTATCATTTCAGTTACAATTGTGTTGTGATTTCAGTATTATTTTCCTTTTTAAATCAGAGTTGACACTATGTATTTGAAAAGCAGAATTTTAGTCACCACCCTGTCCCTTTAATTTTTTAGCCATTAATTTGATGAAACAGCTTCCTAAAGGAAGGAATATATACTAAGCTAAAATATAAATTCCTGTGAGTTTAAAAAAAAGGAGGGGCATATGATAAAGAATTTGGCTTTACCTAAAGTGATTTAGCCTTTGTCCTTGGTTCCTGAGAAGTAACCCTTGCAAGCTTCGAATTTAAGTGTCTTCAATAAGGGCATCTAACCTAACAGGTTAGTTGAGGTGATGAGGTAACTCTGGGTAGAGGCTTTCCAGGCCAGAAAGACCCATCACATAATACCTCATGATCGCCTCTTGATATCGTTTGTTCTTAGGGGAGAAGGGCTGGAGTCTTTGCATTATCTAATGAGATCCCCAATAAAGCTGTATACAGGGAAGCTCCATGGGCTTCCTGGTTGAAGAAAGATATCCATGCACATAAGAGGGTAGCTCATCCCTTTGGGACATGGAAGCTCCACTTTGGGAACCTCCCAGACCTCGCTCTATGTGTCTCTTCATTTGTATCCTTTTTTCCTACGATAAAACTATAATCGTTAAGTATAACACTTTCTGTGAGCTCTATGAGTTGTTCCGGTAATTGATGGAACCCAAGAAGAGGGTGGGAGCCAGAAGAATGGTGTCCTTTTAACTTGTGAACTCTGACCTAGCTCCAGCGGCTGGAGTCAGAGAAAAGTAATGCTGCATGGGCAGCTGATCTGAAGGACAATGTCCTTTTTACTTGTGAGATGTGACCTAGCTCTGGGTGGCTACGGTTGGAAAAGAAACGCTCCATGTTTCAGTTGGTGTGACTGAAGTAAAAAAGTGGGGATTTGGATTTATGTTGATGTTATCCTTGTGAGGGGGAAGCTGGGGTAGGTAGGAGGGATGGATGGGAAGTAAAAGGCAACTATACAATGCTACTTTTTAAAAAGTAGGCATTCAACAAAATTCTTAAAGGTTTATTCCTTTGTGAATTTACCCCCTCCCATCTTCCACAGCAGAAAGAGAAGAGAAACAAAGAGGGATAGAAAAATAAGGTTGACAACCCCACATCCAATATACAGCAAATGCTATCAGCTATTCCTTCAAAATATTCCCCAAATCCACCACTTCTTTTTATCCCCGCTACTATCACTCCTCTTCCTGAACTACCATGAACTCACCTAACTGACTGCAATAGCTTCCTAGTTGGTTTCCTGGTGTCCATTCTTATTCTTCCCTCTCATTCACTTTTCTATACAGTCTTTAAAATGATTTTTAAAAATTCAAGCAGACCACTTTGTTCTCTTGCTCAGAACCCTTCAATGTTTCCTTTCACACTCATGGTAAAATCCAAACTCCTTGTCAAAACCTACAAAGGCTGTACAATCTGGCCCCTGGCTACCTCTTCAACTGCATGCCCTACCGTTCTCTGCCTAACTCCACCATGATCTTCTTCTTGTTCCTCCAATGTGCCAATCTTCCAACTCCCTCAGGCCATTTGTACTTGCTGTTCCCTCTGCCTGGTATTACTTCCATCTCTACAGGGCTTACCTCTCCATGTCATTCAGGTCACTGTTCAAATGCTCTCTCTTTCCAGAGATGCCTTCAGTGACCACCCTATCTAAAATAGCATTCTCTTTTCTTTTACCTGGCTTTGTTTACCTTCCTAGAACTTGCCAATACCTTAAATGACACTTTACATTAACTTGTTTATAGTCAGTTTTCCCAGAAGAAGGAAACTTAATGATGACAGGGAGTCTTACTAACTTCTGCACTACAACAGTGGCAAGCTCACAGTAGGTGCTTAGTAAGTATGTGCTAGATGAATGAATGAATGAATGGAATCATAAAGAATAGGGACCATGTCTTATTCACTTTTATGTGTACAGTGCCTGATATGAATACTGTTCACTTTATGAAAGGAATGATTATGAAAGGTGGGGTCAAGGCAAAAAGTAACTGGCAAAAGAAATAAGGCGGGAGAAGGAGCAGCACTGAAGACAGATTAGAAAGGCAAGAACACATATGATTATAATCTACTAGCTAGAACTAAGCTAAGACCCTGTTTCACTTGACTTGGCAGCTCAAGTTATTAGCAAATGCACAGCACATGGCAAGGGCTGAATTAGTATTTACTGAATGAATGAACTGAAGATCTCTCACACTGGATGGCCTATGATTACTATCATTATTTATGATATTGGCATGCAGGTTAATTAGAGGTATAGCACTTACCTTTGACATGCATTTTATGTTAATACCGTATGTTAGATATAAACTGGATTGCTGAATTTATTTAGTCATTTCTGTGTACTTTACTCACACATGTATGCGAAGACTGTCTTTACTACACTACAAGCTACTAAAACATACAAAATCCCTGGACAAATAAGATTTAAATAACGGCTTCATATCATACAGTTACATTTGCTGTGTAATTTTCAGGTGCTTTTACAATCTGATATGGATAACGCTTACAGAGGGCAAGAGGCAGTTCAGATATGAAGAAATGATCAGGCTCAGAAATCAATCACTGGTAGGACTTTTGTGCTAGGCTTCTTTGTGAACTGGACAGACATCAGCTGAATAGCATATATCACTATTAACTGAAAGTGGTCAGTTTCCAGAGTTAGAAGCTGATTTAGTTACAGTTTTATGAATTTACTTTCTGTTCTATATGGCTTGGCTGTGTTATGTGTGAAATTCTAAGCTGGGTTAAAAATATTTCAAAAGTTAATCTTTAAAATCTAAATAATGTGTGAAAACAACACTGATCTAAATCAGACTGCTTAGATGACCACCCTGGTCCTGCCATTAATCAGCTGTACAATCTGGGACAAATCACTTAATTTTCTAGGCTTCAATTTTCCTCTGTTAAAAAATAAGAAATCTGATTAATCTTTAAAGTTGCTTACAGTTCTAACATTCTAATCTCAAAACAAATAATCTGAAGTATTGCTTCTTCCTCATAACTAATCAGAATTGGTGTGTAGATACAGTACACCTTAAAATTTCCCTTTGTTTCTAGAGCATATGTTGCTTGGAATGTTGAACTTAATCATCCATACCATTTATATTATTTTCTTTTCTCCCCACAGTGATGTGGAGTTGAAATTATGTTAAGTTAAATGCATGTATAGCAAGCTTTTACCTCAAGGTGAGGTTTAAATGAGTGCATATGTGCATAATGAATAGAACATAGAAGATCACTACGTATTAATTGCTATTATTATCATTATTTTGTAAGTATTCTCAATATTTGAGAGACTGAAAAGGAGAGGAAGAAAAGTTTTCTGAATTAAAACTCTCACACTAATGAGCTAGCTGTGAATTTTTGGCATTGCTATTTGAAATCAGGACTGAACATTTCCATCAATGCAGAAAGTTCTATTGGAAAGCACAACAAAGAGTTTTCCTACTAATTTCCAGAAATCAACAAAAATTCCTATAAAGCCATCTTCCTGGTGACTAGTTATATTGTAAAGGCATACAAAAAGTTAACCATAAAGTGCAAACTAAGGAAAGCTACACTACATTCTCCAGCAGCAATGAAGATACAAAACTTGGGTTATTGTTTTAGGAACATGCTTTAATGATCACTTGCTAATCATATGGTTTACTTTCACTAGAAGATAGAACAACTGAGTATGAAAGATGATTCTTTGATGGTGATGTCAACTAAAGAATCACATGGTATGGAGCTACAAGGAACCACTGAGAGGATCCAGCCCATTCCCTTTGTTTCTCCTATAAAGACAGTAACATTCTGGAGTCAAACAGCTAGGAAATGGCAAAATCAGAAACTAACACCAGTTTTTCTGGCACTCAATCCATGCTGCTTCAAAAGGAATAGTGTGGCTTTGAAAGAGAGCGCCACAACAGCAACAGGTATCAAATGATACTCCAGGGAACACTGGTGTTACTAAGATGGACTGGAATACACTGCTGCTACACCCATTTTGTAGAAAAAAATAAGTGATGAATATTATTTCCCCTTTAAGTCCTTGACATTTTCTTAAACTTCTGACATCTGATACTGCTTGTTTGCTAGTAAATACTAGCACATGACAGAATAAATTAATAAGTAGCAACAAATATTTTAAAAAACTAAGTCACGTTGTTTCTTTCAGCCCAAGTATATGTAAGCCTGTGCCTTTATATTTTACGTATAAAACTGTTCATATGACAAGTTTTATGTTCTCAGACCTGAGCCAGTTGTGTCATATTTAAACAGTCATAACTCAAAATATCTACCAACATGTCTGTGGCAGGCAGAATTCTAAGATGGCACCCAAATTCCCAGCCCCTGGTGTTGATGTAACATCTTCCAATCATTCAATCAAACACAAATATAGGTGGTGCTGCGAAGGGTTTTGCAGATGTAATTTAGGTTCCAACCCAGTTGATATAAATATAGGGAGATTATCCCGGTTGGCCTGAACTCATAAGCCCTTTAAATTTAGGTCTAGAGGTCAGAGAGAGAGGAAGTCAGAGATTCAAAGCAAGGGAAGAATTTGATAGGAAGGAAATTTTCTTTTGCTGGCACTGAAGATGGAGGGGGGTCATGTGACAAGGAATGTGGGCAGCCTCTAGGAGCTGAGAGCAGCCCTCGGCTGACAGCAAGCAAGGAAATGGGGACCTCAGTCCTATATCCACAAGGAACTGAATTTTTACAGAACAACATGTGACTGTAAGCTGACCTCACATGCCAGATGAGAATGCAGTCCAGCCAACACCTTGATTTTAGCTTTGCAAGATCCTGGACAGAGAACCCAGCCACCTCAGGCCTGGACTTCTGACTTACAGAACTGAGAGCTAATAAATGGATGTTGTTTGAAGCCACTAAATTTTAGTACCTTGTTATGCAACAATAGAAAACTAATACAATGTACCATTCCCACCCACCCGACACCCAACCTCAGTCCCACCCAGCCCCACATATATTATAGTTTATTCACTGCCAATACCATTGCTTTTCAGCAGAGAAGTAAATGGCCTCCTCCTCCTCTTCATTTCGATAAAGAGCAGGGCAACTTGAAACTGAGAGGATATCAGGATCAGGGGAAGGTAAGGAGTGTTGCGTGTGCTGCGGATGGTGAGGGTGCCGGGGGTGTGGTGGAGCATGCGGGGGAAGCTGAGCACGCTGAGACTGTGGCGAGGACGGCACGATGCTGCGACGAGAGCGACACAAGCTACTGCTTCTGGCTAATGATCCGGCAGACTTAGCCATGGTCCCTGAAAACCAAACATAAATGAATAAAAACCCTCGTAGAACTCAATGCTCCCTTCATGCACAACACAAATCAGTACAAAAGAGAACTGATGTCACTAATATGTCACCATTTAATCCACCTTTACTGAAGTAAACAATTATTACCATTTTCCACCTCATGTACTGCTTCTCGGGAAAGTTAAGAAATAATAAAAATGAAACAGAAATGAAAACAGTTCTAAAAAATAAATGGAAGTGGACATAAACGCATGATGCTTTAATATCAAATCTAACATTACTAAGCAGAAAGGTTTAAAAACTTACTCAAGATGACCAATCCTTAATTATAAAGATCAATATAATATACCTACAAAGAATTTGTATTTTATTGTAAATCCTTTTATGAATTTTAACATTAAAAGGGAAAAACTATCAGGAGAAAGTAACCTAGATTTTTACTATGTAGGTATCTCTTAAGATACGGCAACTTACTTAAACTTCAAGAAGTTAGCAATCAAGGAAATTATTTAAAAAATACTGTATGCACAATCTCACAGCTAGTTACTTGGGACAGAACTGAGACCGGAACCTGTTTCTTGAACATGGATCACTGTAGACTTAACCAGAAGTCTTATAGATTGCTTCTGCTAGCAGTCTCAGTCTAGACCTATCCAGGTGATAAACAAATTTCCCCTATATCTTTTAATGGTATCTGTAAACCCATACATATTCCTACACCCTCTTATAAAAATGTCTTTCTTCTGAAGGTCATACTCTTAAACCACATGAATCTTCACTTCACTGGTCACTTCCCAGTCATTCTCTTTTTACCTGTCCATCCAAACTTAAATCAACAGGAGCAATCTCATTTGTAAGACCTATCCAACACCTTAACAACCTTCTCCTCTACTTCCACCTCTACTCTACTCCACACATAGAACTGTTCCATCTTTGAAATTATAAATCCAGACATCAGACATTGAGATTCTGACTACATTTTTTTCTTTCTAGTTCATACATTCTGCCCCTTCTACTTAACCATCTCATTCTCTACCTGAAGTTCAAGGATCTTACTCTTATTTCTTCTCTTGCATTTATTTTCATCCTCTCCCTTAGTGCTACTTCCCATCAGCATTTAAAAACAAATGCTGAAAAACAAATCTAAAAAACTAACAGTAACAAAAAATCTCCTCTATCCCAGACTGTTTTTCAGCTGACATATCTCTTTTCTCTTTTATGACTGCACCTGGGAAAAGAATTATCTATGCTACTTTCTCCACTGCTTCATTTTTGTTCATTCTTCAAAGAAACTGTAAAGTGCTTATAAACTCACAATTTCCTTGAAACTGTTCTGACCAAGGTCGTTATCTACTTGTGTAAAACCAAAGAATATGTTCATCCTTCCTTGACATCTGACCAGCACTTGACATTTATTATTATTTTGTCCTTTCCTTGACTTCTATGACCATATTCTCACTCTTCCTTTACCTGTCCCTTAATTTTTGGACTTCTACAAAGTTCTGTTCTAGGCCTTGCTCTAGTCTTGCTCCACTTATTCCTCCTGAGTAAATTTATCCATTTCCAAGACTTCAATTATCACTGGTAGCCTACAGAAGTCCAAATCTATAACTCCAGCTTCAATCTCTCTCCTGAACTTCAGACCCTTATATCCAACTGCATACTGGACATTTGGATGTACCACCAATCCCCAAACTGAACTCAAAGTTTTCCTTCCCAAACTCACTCTTTTCTATCAGTTTCTTAATTTATTTCCCACACGGCAACGTGCACAATCACTTGCAAATGGAAAAGGATTTTGACATTTATTGCTTAAAACCCTTGAATGGCTCCCCAATACACTTAGGATGAGAATAAAGTCCAACACTCCTTAACATGGCTTAGAATGCCAACTATTTACCCTCTATTTTGGAGCTAGTGCTCTAGCTGTACAGGAGTACCAGCAACACTATACCTCTCTCAGCTCCTCAGAGGTACAATGTTCTCTCTCACCTCCATGCCTCCTTTTCCTATGTCTCCTTTGACCTCCCATTTCAGATCGTTGTTTAAATGGCGGTTCCTCCGGGAAGATTCTCAAACTCTACGTGTTTATGTGTTTCCCCTTTACTCACATAGCAATAACAAAGTATATTTCCCTAATAAATAACTCATCTCAATGCACTGCTCTTGTCTGCCCTCCACTAGACTAAGCTCCATGGAGGCAATGATTGTCTATCATGTTCAATACTGCATCACAACACCTAGCACAGGACCAGGCAAAAAGCAGATGCTCAATAAGTATTTACTGAATGAATCAATGAATGATTCAAACAGAAATAACTATTAAAATAACTTCATGGAATTGAAAGAGAGACTATGAGGTGAAACTAAAAGGAATATTTCAGAATTTTTGACTCTCTCAGTACCACAAAAGGCTTTTTTGTTTTTCAAACACAAATGCTATAACATGGAAGTATTTTTAATTTAGTAGGTAACTATTAGAATTTTCTCTTATTTATAATGATTCCTACATTAGAGAACTAAGAGACTCTGGAAATCCTTACTTCGATGTTCTCACTTTGCCAGAGAAGAAACTACATCTAGGAATATTAAAAGAATGTGTCCAATGTCACATAGATAATTAAGTTCTACAACTCTAAGCATATACTGCAGACATTCCCAGCAATCACTGGTTATTTGGAAAATGCACTAAAATGTAGCAAGATTCAGTCATGACTATAGGAGTTATGAGACGGTTTAAGAAGAATCAAGGATTCCTTGCTTGGATAGTAAAAGAAAAACGAGTCCTGCCCACAGAAATGGAAAAATGGTACATGAAGAAGTTTTAAGAGGAAAGTAAGCAGTTTATATTAGGAAAATTCTAAGTAATCCCACAAAGAATAACATAAACATGAAAATCAGTAGATGTGTCACATCTAAAACTTGTTTACGATTTCACAATCTTTCCCAAAAATCTTCTTCTTATATATATTGCTATCTCTTTTGCCTAGAAAAATGTACAAATCCATCCATTAGAGTTAAGTATGCTTGGTGTTGAGGGTCCATCTTCCTTGTTCCTTTAAGAGGCTTACAAAGGGCTGCCTATACAGTTACAGTGCCATGGAATTGATGTAGAATTAAAAAGCAATGTGCTTTTGACCTTGTAATAAGTTTTCCTTTAAATAATGTGGATGTGACTGTTTTTAATGACATTAATTAATTCCCAATGAAGGTGAACATTCATTGCCACCTGTGATTTACAAGGGAGCAATGGGTTTGGTTTTGTGATTTGTAAGAGTGGCTAAATAAGACATTAAAGTTTACTTTATAGAAATTTACTTCTGAGATAACTTTTCATTCCAATATAACTAATTGTCTAAAGAACTGTAGCAGTTTAATATGACTCTCTACAGGCAGTCCTCAGGTTACGAACAAGACTGATTCCTAACTGTGTCTTTAAGCTGAATTTGTAGGTAATGGAACTGGTGCGCATGGTTCTTATTTAGCCTTAAAGTGCAAGAAAGGGCCTGAAGCCTTTTCAATGATTTAAAAGCTACTTGCACAGCAAATGAAGGTGAGTGTAACGAAGAATTTGTTTCAAGTAGGGGTTGATTCAATCTCTTCAAAGTGAAGGTAAATTTACATAACATTAAAGGGCAAGTACCGGTTGTCTCTAAGTTTGACATTCCTAACCCGGGGACCGCCTATATTTACAAACTGTATTTTGTGATGTGTTTCCTATGACAGATGATAAAATTTGCTTTCCAATAAAGTAACTCCTCATCAGTACCACCAACTAAAATAATATACTTAACTCCAAAATCTTAACCACTGTATCATATCGACTCTCTAAGAGTAGATAATAACAGAATGGAAGAAAAAGGAATGCTACCTAATTTATTTTATGATGCTATATAACACTGATACCAAAGACAATACTGGGAAAGAAAATTATTGGCTATTCTACTATATGATTAAAGATTTTAAAGCCCTAAATAAAGTAATATAGCAAACCAACCCAGTTTGTTATAAACAGTACACTGTGGAAGATAAAGTTTCACTGAAATTTAAAGGGATTTATTTAAATAGTGTAAAATTCAACGAAATAAAGAAAAAGTAAATTGTGCAGAAAAAGAATGTAGTAAAATTTAACACCCATTCATTGATTTAAAAGAAAAAACATTTCTAGCAAAATGGGACTCAAAATTAATGTCCTTAACTTAATAAAGATATCCACCAAAAATACAGAGCAAAAAAAAAAACAAACAAAAATCACACTTCATGGTGATGAAATATTAATGCAGTGGTTGAATTTCTCAGCTGCTAACCAAAAGGTTAGCGGTTTGAACTCACCAGCCACTCTATGAAAGATGTAGTAAGTAGTCTGCTTCCATGAAGATTACAGCCTTGGAAATCCTATGCGGCAGTTCTACTCTGTTCTTTAGGGTCACTCTGAGTCAGAACTGACTCTCAACAGTAATGCTTTTTTTTTTTTGTTTGGTATTGCCTGTAATCACTATGTTTATTCAACACTTTAATGGAGGTCTTAGCTTGGACAATAAGAGAAAAAAGAAGGCATGAGGACTGAAAAGGAAATAAAAATTGCTTATTATCATCCACACAAAAAATCCAAAACTCCAATTAAGAGAATTCAGTAATGTTTCTGAGTACAGGATCAGTATACCAAAATCAGCAGCATATCCTACACATCAACAACAATATTTTCTCTGTTTATCATGATGTTGCTTATTGGTCCAGTTGTGAGGATTTTTGTTTTCTTTATGAAAACAAAATTAGTAAGTGCTTCAAGTCCTCTTCCCTTTCGGCAAGCAAGGTTGTGTCATCTGCGTATCACAGGCTGTTAATGAGTCTTGCTCCAATTCTGATGCCCCGTTCTTCTTCATATAGTCCAGCTTCTCGGATTATTTGCTCAGCATACAGATTAAATAAGTATGGTGAAAGGATACAACGCTGATGCACACCTTTCCTGATTTTAAACCACGCAGTATCCCCTTGTTCTGTTCGA